TTAAAGATGAGGAAGATATTTGAAATTGATTATTAAGAAAATGGGTATAAGTAGCTTGGATTATATAAATTTTTTAGTGAAAATATTTACTTAAAGTTTGGAGTATATCTTCAACAATGAAGTGGAAAAGGGAAATTATATATCTAGTAAGTTAAAAAGCTTTCTGAAACCCTCAAATGTTAATCTTTTCCTTGTTTTTGGAATAATTATTATCCATGAGATAAAATTGCCAGAGAATATATTTCTGGCAACAGTTATGAATCTCTTGAAAACAGGAATTCTAGAAAGATCACTTCTGCTTTTAGGTAGGGACCACTTAAAAAATGGGTTATTGAAGAAAGAATGATAAAAAAATGGTTTGAGGACTAAATACTTTTCTCTATAAGATTTATTTCATATTGGTTTAATTCTTCCTAGGATAGGCCACCCATTTCAGATAAAACATAGTGATGCCAATTAAACTAAACAGAAGTACTTAGTAAAACAGTCTACTTTGAAGTAACTCAAGTTAATTAAAAAGAACACAGGAAGTAACAATGTTGTGGTATTCATTTAATTTTTACTGACTACTTTTTCTGTGAAATTTGCTTTTAAAGAAAATTGGTCTTGTATTTTGAGGCATCAGTTGAGAATAAGGTATCTACTTGAATATTTGGAACTATAAGAATGTATAATTGTTTAATACCCAAAAGGAGAAGTGGAGCCAATTCTATTTATTCTCCCTCTGAACAGGTATAGTCACAGCAGTTTCTCTATCCAGATTTGTTGTAAATTACTATTACCTGAAACTAGCTTGTCCACCTATTATTATCATCTTTTCTCCCACTTGGCTTTGAAAACTGGCTAGTCTTTTATAAGAAGCCCTCTCCCTTATAGTTGGTGCTGTCTTTTATAACTTGTAATAAAAATAATCCACTTTTATCTTTATCTTTGTTATATGATTCATACCTATTGACAATCTTTCACAAGTAGTAGATGGTTATCATAGGAAGAAATTAAACATGAAAATAAAGGGGCAATAATTCCATTTATGCATTCATTTGTCATTATTGTGTTTAGTACTAATGCAATTATATCTTTCCTCCTTCCATCGCCAAGCCATTTGCTTACTTCTAGTATGAAAATAAGCTCAATTTTATGTTCATCATTTTCTTCCTCATGCCAGTACAAATAATATGTCAAATTACACATTTTCTACTTCTTTAAAGCTTTTCTCAGACCCTTCTTTTCATTTTATTGATGAATTCAGGTTTTCAATGACTGTTCAACTAATTTCTTATCTTTCATCTCTCCTGAGTATTAGAGTCTAATTAACATTCTGATGACAAATAGATTTTCTCAATTTATAGCTCCAATCATATTATTCCCATGCTCAAATACCACTGCAGGCTGTAAATTAATTAAAAACATGAGTCAGTATTTCTTTTGTTCATTTTTTTATGATTCCAGGAATTGAACCCAAGTCTTCACGCATGTTCAGCATGTGCTCTACCATTGAACTACACCAGTAATATGAGTCAGTATTTCATCCCGGTGTTCAGTGTTTCCTGATGTCATATTTTTAACCTTATTTCCTAATATGTAATCATTCCCAACATGTAGCTTCCTTATATTTCTAGACTAGAGCACATTAATGTTTTAATATTTACACCCAAGAAATTTTACTTATATTCAGACATTCAGTTTTCAAGCTTCCAAGTTCATCATAACTTATACTTTTATATGGCAACTTGTGTGATATCACCACATCCCAAACCAATTTTGTGAATTTGTGAAATTTCCATACCATTCTTTGTTTGCTTTTTTTTTTTAATGAGATACTGAGAAACTTTATTCATTGTTTTTTCTTGAGTCCACTTGGAAACATTCATATTGCTGGGTAGAAAATGACTACATTGTAAATGTTTTTCCTGAGGTAAGAAGTCTACTAGAGAAAATGATGCAATTAGTAATTCAAAACAAATATTTGCATATATATATACACACACTCATATAAAAGCCTGCAGGACAATTCAAAGATGCTAGTGATAACGTTCCTTATTGAAATTCCTAAGAAAACTATAGAATATGATCTAGATATAGATGTTTAGATTGTAAACACGCATGTTTTAAGACTAATTCAAAAACAGTTAACACGTTATAAATAGCAATTTTGTTTGCTTTTTCAGAACTACAATATAATCAAACTTAAAATTACTCATCTTCTTCTCTTCCTCATTTTTAGGGCAAGGGATGAGTCTTATTGATCTCTATAAACCTAAAGAATTTTGAATAGTTTCTGCTTGTAGTGTGTTTGATCAATTTTCTCTTCATGAAATTGAATAGTCAGTTACTAACAATGAATCTCTCCAAGCAATTAAAACCTTTATTAGATACCAATAAAGTGATATTTGCTCCTGTCTGCAATTGCCTAGAACATTTTAGTCTCTTCTAAATTAATGTAAAGTTTAAAAAGCAACTGGCACTTGAAGAATAAATAAACCTTGTTTCCAGGGCCTCCTTTTTCTTGGAATCCCTATTCATTTAACTCCTCTGAATCCCAACAGTCAAAATCTCATCGATGTAGACTTAAAAGCTAAAGGAGCTTAAAAGCCACTGTAGGGGTCTGTTCAGTTTTAAATACAATTTAGAAAACCATAGGAAAAAATGGCAGTTTCCTTTCAAGAACCTCCCATACATATTTCAAAAGCACAGCTTTTCAAATTGGACACTGTAAAATACTATGCCACCAACCGAGTAATAAAAGTCACTCACTCCCATGTAGAAAGATTCCCATGATTTTGACAAAAAGCACAAAAATTTGTATTTTCTTTATTTAAATCTGAGACTGACAAAGACATCGGAAAGGAAAAGAAAATTTTGCTAAAAGATCATTATTTAGAAGTAAATTACTATGCAAAAAAGCATGAATCTGCTTGACAATTTGTGAATTTAGGCGGATGAAATCACTCCTTCCTCAACCCCAACTATCAACTCTGTTGATGAAATGTGTTAATTATTCTGTTTGGGGAACATGTGAAGCTGTTAAATCAATGTTTCCTTGGTACAAGGAGTTAAGAAAAGAACTGACAGGATCTGCTTAGGAAATGCTTCATTTCCTGTGCCCAAACTGTAAAGGAAACATAAAACAGAGCCAGGTGCAACAAAGTCATACACATAGATGGGAAAATTTCTTCCAGCTTCTTCTGGGCACTACTTGGTGGTTGTTTTATGTTCCTGTGCCATAACTTCCTTTTCTAATATAAATGGGGCAATATATTTTATTATGTTTTACAGATACTTATTAGCAAATTAGAATTGTTCACAGAATTTGAAGGAGAGAGTTATGTATCTATTACCTTGGCCTAAATGGAAAACTCTTCTACATGAATTCATTAGAAAAATGGCACTTAAAGAAAGGATGGGCTCATTACCAGTGAACTAAAGGAGGTTGGCATTTTCCCATAATGGCCAACATAGAACAATCTGTCAGGCCATTTTGCATTATCTTTCACCATCCTTGTGAACAGGTTTTGGAGGTGAATTCTATTGATCCTGTTTCACTTTGTTTTTAGAAGGGCGTGTAATCCAGTCTGCATTTAACAATGCTGACGAAGTGGTGTACTCACCCATACTTGGAGACCTGGAACTCCAACAGCCTAACCCAAGGCTTTCAGAATTTATATTAACCAAGCATGTATTTGTGAGCAGTGTGTTTCAAGGAGTTGGAATTCTTATCAAATTTTCCCATGCATACTACAGAGTTCCTTATAAACTAGTACATGGACTTCTGTGAACATCTCATAATTATTCTTTATTTTAAACAGTCAGATTCGTAGTAACTCTTGTAAGTTAAATTTCTGCTGCAACTTAATCCTGGAAACTCCAAGATGCAAGAGAAGTAAGTATGTGATTTTTGAGCTGCTTTAGAATTTGTCCTAAGTTTACAAGAGATGTTTTAAAAAAAACTGATAAAATGTTGCTCAAGAAAGAGTATGATTTTTTTCCTCTACATTATTTACTATAGATTACAATTTTATAAGCAGAAAAGTTTGAGAGAGCACAATTACAATAAAGTTAGAACTGAATTTCTTGAATTCTCTCGCTTCTCCATCCCAAAGTTTCTCAGAATCATAATCAATTCTCTCAATTGTGTTTTTTTATGATAGTTTGCATTTTGGTTTTCACACTTATTGAATCTTTCTGGTACTAGAGTTACCAGTTTCCCAACAGTACATTTACCACTGTGAACAAGGACATCTTACTCATTTTTATATTCCTCACAAGGCCCAAGACAGGATAGGAGAATAGTAAATATTGATTAAGCTTAATTGTTTATTTTGAATTGTTCAGGAAGGGTTGAAAGTCAAATGTAATCATTCTTGCAACTGGTCATTAATGTAGTCAAGGTTTATTCAGAATCATAGGCAGGATTTTTATGTCTATAAATTCCTGAACTGTTGTATATAGATGTCCAGATATTTGCATATTTTTGCAACAAAAGCCTATAAACTTTTTCTCTATTCACGCTACTCTCTTAAGATATTAAGATTCACTTCCCTAGGCAGCTTACCCTATCAGGGCTGAAAGACAGTTGCAACTAATACAGGCTGACATTTGCAGTGCAATATTTCCAATTGCAGTCTTTCACACACGCATAGCAATCTCATTATTTCTGGACTTATCTCTGAAAAGAATACATTTTTAAAGAAATAGTGCACTTTAGCCATTCTCTACATTTATTCTCTGACTCAAGATTTTTATTCTCGAGAAAGACAATTGTATCTTTACAGTAACTCAGTGATTCCATCAAACACATTTCAAGGCCATTGAACTAGCACACATTTCTCTACAGTGAAAGCACATATTCTCTCTGTGGAACCATCTCCTTGCACTCCACATCAGTGTTCACACACTCCATGGAGCAAATGAATTGCAGCACCGAAGTTGCAGGGAAGGCTAAGAGCCCTTTAATAATGAGTTCTTACCCACATCATCAGAAAAATAAGAGAAAATGGTACCTGCGCCATCATCACTGCTGCAAAGACTGGACAAAAGAAGACAAAGAATGGTCACTTGAAGCAGTTGCATGGTGCCTGCGGGTTGCTTCAGTGGCTTCTCTCTCCAGCATAAGGCAGGGAAAACTCCCTCCCTGCCTGGCAGGACTCTATCAGCAAATGGAAAAGGTGTGCTGCATGTGTACAGCCACTGCCCATTCCTACTTATTTTGGGGCTCTGATAAAGAACTGGAGGAAATACACACACTCCCTTTGGGAGTTCAGCAGAGAGGAGATTTATTGTTTCAGTCCCTTACAGGAACTCTTTTTTTTTTTCTCTCTTCCTTTGGCAGCCACTTGTGTTTTTGTTACTACATTATTTTGTTCTTCTTCAACAAAAAGGTCAGGATGGGTTTTGAACAGAAACAGATTCTTGTTGAGAATGGACCAGAAAGCTTTCTAACTTTTGTTTTGAAAGTGCATTTTGGAGTGGTGATAAAGGGACCTCATTAAACAGCTACTCAGTTCAGATAAAAAAGGCTTTGACTTCCCACATGCTAAATTTTAGAAAAAATACCTAAGGAATCAACTTGTCTTCTCTCTTTTCCACTTTAAAGTCAGATGAGTGAAGACCACCTTCTAGAGATAAATGCAAAATCTTATTAAGTACATCATGCTCTGCTCTTGAGAAAATAGAGACTTCTTCATGATATCCAGAGAGTTTTTCAAGATTTCTAATAGGAGTAAGCAAAGATGTGTGAATGTCAACTTGTTTTCAGGAGTTTTCTTTCTTGTGGTGCTGGGGACCCCAAGGTTTTGTGCAAGCTGGGCAAGCACTCTTACCACTGAACTACATCCCCTTTCCTTGTTTTTACTGGTGGGTTTTTATGAAGAATAAGGAAAAATATTTATAATACCTTGTGGGTGTCAGGGAATAGGTTGGAATGGGACTGGGTGGAATGCCATCACAGCCAAACAATGAGATTAGGGCAGATTGAATCTGCAAGAACAAAGTGCCAACTAGGCAGGCTAATCCATTTACCAGGGATTTTTCTGCTGTCAGTGATGGCTGGCTAAAAAACATGGTGATAACACTGCAACAGCCTGAGGCACAACCCCTGTGTGTGACAATAACTTCAGCCACAGACTTCACATTTAAACACAGCTGATTGTCCTAGTATTTACCTTTTGGCATAAGGTGTGCCACCCAACCATGTTAATGAATCAGCATAGGTTCATGTGCCTCACCAAGAAAACTATTCAAAAATTGTAACTTTATCTGTTAATCAGGAGGACACACAAATCCTGGATGTATCATGCTGGAAAGGAATCCATACAAGAATGACCAGGGCAAGTAAAATGGCTCAGAACACCTGAAAGCATGGCTGGCTTCATCCTAAAGTTACACCAAGCCTCAGAAGAGTGTGCTTTTATTTTATTTGGAGTATAAGCAAGATTAATTTTAACTTACTTTTTAAATTGATTTTCTGAAACAGACTGCCTTTGGGATTATTACTTTATTTGGTATATCCTAGAGAATATAAAGATGGCAATCAATGGATGCAAATAGATATCACACACACTTTCCCCGAAATAAAAAGAGGTGTGGCTGTGAAAGCACACTCACACATTGCCTCACTTCCTGTTCCTTGTCATACTCTTAACTTTGGAGCTCTCGGCACCTAGGCTCACCACTGATGCTGCTCGTGATCATTTCTATGGGGATTCGATGGCATTTGGGATTCTCAGCCCTAATTACTCCACATGTTTATGAAGTATGCTAGATAGCTACCCTGAGAATGCTCAATTACAGATATCCAGGCTATTTAAAGGTCTGATGATCAGTAGATTAAAAAAAAGAAAAAGAAAAAACAAGAGATGTGAAAATAAAGTGGCTAGGTGAAAGAAGGAGGAGGAGGAGGAGGAGGAGGAGGAAGAGGAGGAAGAAGAAGAAGAAGAAGAAGAAGAAGAAGAAGAAAAGAAAGAAAGAAAGAAAGAGAAAGGAGAGAAGAAAACAGGAGAAGAATGGCTAGCTTTGTTTTAATGGAACAGAAAGTATTTTTAGGTTAGTAAATGAAAACAGTGGAGGAGGCAGATCAATGGCACAGAAGTGCAAGCACAGCACAGAAGTACATATACACAAGCATATAGAAATATTTGCACACATGTGCATGGGCCTGAATATGTATGTGTGTAGAGAGAGATTAGTTATAAGTGGATTTCACATATAGTAAACGTGGTAAGTAGGGTGTATAATGGCTAAGTGATTTTTGACATGTTAACTAGCTACAAATATTTAAAACTCTATTTTTCCTCAAATACAAAAAATTAATTTCTAATGTGTTAAAGATTTAAATATGCAAAACAAAATCGTGAAATTCTAGGAGACTATCTGGATGACTGCATGTAAGTGGGGTAGAGAAAACATTCTATACATGACACTAAGAAAAGGAAGACTTGGTGCACTTGCTTAAATAAAAATAAAAGATTTTGGCCCAACATACTAAAGGATGAAAAAGCAAACAAAAAAGTGTAAAAAAATGTTTTCAACATATATGGTATTATACCCTGAAGATAACTTGTGATCTAGAAAACAATAATTGTGGTCCTGAAAAAATGAGTAAAAGAATGTGATGAAAAGAAGAAATTGAAGACCATAAAGTGCAAAAGAATACTCTTTTCACCATAAATCAAGTGAGCAGACATGCGAACATTGAGATAACTTATTTTACTTTTTAAATATAACTTGGTATATTTTCTGACAATACCCATTATTAATAAAATGTTTAAGGAAAGTTGCTAGTTTGGAGGGGTTGTCAGGCACTTTCTGGGATGTGACTTGGTGATAGGTTTCAAAACTCTTATAAGACCATAATGTTTGAGCTTTTAAATATGAGTTCAGGAACTTATTCTTAAAGTGAAGATACTCATTGAAGTTCATGTTATTATAAAAAAATGTTTGAAGTATCAATTACTAAGAAATAGGGTGAAATATTGTTCAGCCACAAATTACAAAAATTTTGTAGATGTGAAAAATAGGTACATAATTTTTGCATATATACATTTATATTTTAATATAACTAATGTGTACATGTAAATACATACATATATATGAATAGATAAATACACACATGAAAGAGAGAGACAGGGAGAAAGAGATGGTAAAAGAGAAAATACTACCATCACTTATCTACTGGTAGTGAATTAAAAGTGGTTTTTCATCTTATTGCTTATTTTACTCAAAACACATATTATTTCTAGCCAATTTTTGTTTGGCCAGATATTTTTAAGTTTAATATTTGGGCTATATAGTTATAAATGTGTTATTGAATATTTTCTATTCTATCCCACTTGAATGTTTGATTTATTAGGAAGCTTATAATTTAAGATCACTTTCATTCAAACCCCGTACTGCCAAAAAAAATCACCTTAATAAAAGAAAATATGTGAAGAGAATGAAATTATTCTGAGAGAAGGAAAGTGGCTTTGCTTTTGATTTTCTTGCAATGCATCTTCTGAATTCCTGTCTAAAGGAAAGGTGAGTTGCAGTGAGGTTGCAGGAGAGCAACCTCAGAATTCTTTCCAACAGCATATTCAGGTTTGTCTTTGATGTCTTTGACACTGAAGAAGTTACACAATGAAAGCTCTGACAATGATTCATGTTAACTTGTATGACACTGAGACGATTTATTCAGATAGCCTCATTATCAAGCTTCTGAGTTAAACTTCCTTTCCTTGCCTTCTTCTTGTCTCACAGTTCATCACAGAGAAGAAATCATCTAAAATGGTTGGAAAGTTAAGAGGAAAAGAGCATGAACTCTGAATTCAAATCCCAGTTCCCTTCCCTAGTCTTATGTGACTTACCAATTTGTCCTTGAACTGCCTCAGTTTCCCCATTGAAAAGTAGGGTGAATAACATGCTAATTTTCTAATGTAAAGCATTAAGTGAGATTCCAGAAGGTCTTTAGGAGTGCATAGTAAAACAAATGTGCAGAGAGAGAAAGAGGAAGAGAGGAGGGAGAGAAAGAAACAAAGTAACCTTAAACTGCTAGAATCCTTAGGCTTAAATAAATTGTTTTACTTCAGTGGTTTGTTTGAATTTGTTAGTATTTTATACTAGACCATCTCATTCCAGAGTGATTAACCAATTTCTTAAGAAATAGATGATGTAAGTCCACAAATGTTGTTAAGAACAGGTAACAAATACAGAATTCCAAATTTTATTTTCTGAAGTTTGTTCTATTTTCTACTTCAAGGATCAGATACTTTTTCCATGAAGAAAGAACCAAACAGTTCATCCTTGTTACTTGCCTATTTGATTTGCCTGTTGAATGATCTATTAAAGGTGGGTACAGAGCTGAAATCCAATAGATAACCTCAGAACCCATAATACAAAAGACATTAAGTCCCCCTCCTATAGAGCCATGTGGCAAAATGTATGATAATAAAATAAATGTCTTCTTCACCTACTCTGTTTCTGTTACTCAGTTCCTAGTGATCCAGGACCAATGCTGGTTAGTTTTGCTCAAATGAAAAGAAGACATGACGGCAAGTTTCCAGACCTTTTCTCTCACATTCTCTAACTGTCCATCCCAATTTCATTCCTCAACATATACAAATGGTTTTCTCACTTCATACTGATCCTGGAAACTTGCATAAATCTCTTGATACAGAAGGACGTGAATATAAGGGAATCATAAAAACACAATAGCTAAGAAACAAGATGTATAAAAATACATTTGAGTACAAGTTCTTACCTAATCTAAGAATCTCCCAGACAAATGATAGGTAAGCCTCAATGTCAACGTTGAAATGATGGAGCTCATGACTCTTAACGGCAACAGATCCTCCTATTGGACAACTCTCCTTGTAAGAAAGCTTAACAACCAATCTTTTTCCTTGGTTGTTTTGAAAACCTCTGGAAATCTCTATCATAAGATGATTCTTCCCCTACAAAACTGAGTCGCAAAATATTTTTAACACAAATTAAACAGATCATTTCATTAATAAGAAAAATGAGATTTTCCAAGAATTTTAGAATTCTCAGTGTTTACATCCATTTTCTAATTATATTTATTTATTTTTAATTTTCATTAGGATATATTCATTATACAGGGGATTCATAGTGGCAATTCTTATTAGAGTTATACTGTACATAGTTACATCACTCCCATC